GAAAATTAAAACACGTTGCATGTATACATTTTAAAATTTTCATCCTAAAATAATAGTTTTAAAACCAAACACAGTACATTTGAACTGTGAACAAAGGCACTTAATTATTGCTTACGATAGTAAGCATAACTTATGCTACTGTGGAATACTTTATTTTCGCTGGAATTAATTTTCGCTGAAAAGGCTTTTTGGGCGTTTTGTATGGAACTTATTTTCACTGATTTTTGATGAATTTAATGTGAAATATAGGAAAAAAAGTATATTCGCTGGATTTTATTTTCACGGAATCATCCATTCAGTGAAAATAAATTCCAAGCGAAAATAAAGTATTCTACAGTATTAGATAAAACTAAAAACTGAATTCTATTATACAATAAATCAATATGCAAATCCACTAGTTTGCCCAGTTAAGTGGCTGGTAGGCACTGTGCTGGTGAGATCAAACTATTACATATGGCATCTGAAAGACCGTACCTAAATTAGGATTTCAACAGTCTGTAGACGAGATGCCAATTTTTAAAGGGGTGGTACATATTGCTATGTACATGTAACCACTGAAATTAACAAGATTGAACTATATAAAGAGACTGCTGCAGTTTCAGACACCTAATGTATAATCTTACTAAACAGTGATTGATGAGTTGTACGTCTTTAATTTACTCGATCAACCAATTTATCACAACAGTCAAAGCATTTTTTGAATTTTAATTAGTTTTACTTGCCAGACAATGTTAGGAAGGGCAATCTACAAGTCAACTCTTGAGTTCTACGCAAGAGCTGAAATTAAGCAAACGTGTTTTGGGGATGACCTTCCTGAATAATTTAATGGGAGTTTTTTCAAATGATGGAAACATAAGTAAAAAAAATATAAGTTTCAGATCAATGCATGCCAGTTTGAAATCAGCTGCACAATAATGTTTTTTTTTGGTGACATTTTTGAAGAAAAAAATGAAAATTCAGAAATAGGAAGAAGGATGTCACCTGCTGGTACACAAGTCTATTACACATACCCAGAACACATGTATAAAATATTCTCAATGGCACGTACAGGTTTGCTATTGAATGCTTATATGTTTTTGCGAATAAGGCACAGTTCAAAGATGAACAGAACCTTGCCTTGAGAACAAAATAAAAACAAAAAACAAATTCATCAGTTTTTCTGAGAAATCTTGGACTAGAAATCTATTTTTATGTTTGGCCTAATATTTTTAATGCATGATCTCTCTCAAATTAAAACAATATGTATCCAAACAACAAAAATGTCAAAACTTAATACTAACTTAAATAGTAATATAAAAAAAATTGTCATGGGCTGACTTTCGGTAAGGAATACAATAAATGGATTTGCAAAATTGCAAAAACTTTAGTATGTATGTACTTTATATATCTAAAAGGCAATCGTGGTTATACTTGTCTATAGTGAAAAAATTAAAATCTATCTACAATTACAGAAGAAAATGAATTATCATACGAGTTATACCAATATCATACATTAATATCGAGAAGAGGCAGAGGTCATGATGACACCACGTTAAGTACACTTTGTTTCTAAAATCCCTAAGTCTGATTAAAATGATTATTGCAATATCTCATAAAGTAAGTATACACAGTAAATGTTGCTGCATTGACGGGAAAGGATCGCAGTAAATTAGCTGATAATCCATTAAGAAACACTCTAAACCCTTCGGCTTTAATACTCTTGCGCAGACAGTCAATGGTACCGCGGTACAATGGGGTTCCTTCAACGGCGTCTGCCTGAATACGTGATTTGATTACATCTATTGGGTGAGACAGAAGCCATGAACATGTGCCACTTAAGCCTCCTGCAATTATCAATTCAGCCAGACCAAGGTTTTCACCTTTTGGATGACGAGATTGAAAAAACGTACAAAAGGTTTCATAAGCTGCAAAATACAGAGTAAATCCTGGAATATCTCTAATGAGAGTGGAATTCAATCCACGGTAACATCCCTTTATACCTTCTTTAATATATATCTTGTATATACACTGTATAGAACCTTTATATGCATGTTTGTGTGTGGAATAGTAGTGATGGCTCTCCCCTTTCCCTTGCAGTTGTAATCGTACTTTAGCTAGCTCCATGGGACATGCCACAACACACTGCACAGCACCAGCAGCAGCACCAGCAATAGAGTGGCTCACTATGGTTTGATCTTTGAACTGCCTCAGGGTATTAGCTTGTACACCAAAGATAATGGCATTTATAAAAGCAAGTCCAGCTAAAGGCGATGCAAGTCCTTTATATAATCCAAAAAACTGGAAAATAAAACAAAATATTATATCCATGATTTAAAATTGCAATGTGACAAGATGTCCAAACTGCAAATGTGACAGGTTGGGCAGTCTGAAAGTGTGACAGGTTGTCTAGTCTGCAAATGTGACAGGTTGTCTAGTCTGCAAATGTGACAGGTTGTCTAGTCTGCAAATGTGACAGGTTGTCTAGTCTGCAAATGTGACAGGTTGTCCAGTCTGCAAACGTGACAGGTTGTCCAGTCTGCAAACGTGACAGGTTGTCCAGTCTGCAAATGGGACAGGTTGTCCAGTCTGCGAATGGGACAGGTTGTCCAGTCTGCAAATAATGACAGGTTGTCCAGTCTGCAAATAATGACAGGTTGTCCAGTCTGCAAATAATGACAGGTTGTCCAGTCTGCAAATAATGACAGGTTGTCCAGTCTGCAAATGTGACAGGTTGTCCAGTCTGCTTATGTGACAGGTTGTCCAGTCTGCTAATGTGACAGGTTGTCCAGTCTGCAAAAGTGACAGGTTGTCCAGTCTGCAAATGGGACAGGTTGTCCAGTCTGCTTATGTGACAGGTTGTCCAGTCTGCTAATGTGACAGGTTGTCCAGTCTGCAAATGGGACAGGTTGTCCAGTCTGCTTATGTGACAGGTTGTCCAGTCTGCAAATGGGACAGGTTGTCCAGTCTGCTTATGTGACAGGTTGTCCAGTCTGCAAACGTGACAGGTTGTCCAGTCTGCAAACGTGACAGGTTGTCCAGTCTGCAAATGGGACAGGTTGTCCAGTCTGCGAATGGGACAGGTTGTCCAGTCTGCAAATAATGACAGGTTGTCCAGTCTGCAAATAATGACAGGTTGTCCAGTCTGCAAATAATGACAGGTTGTCCAGTCTGCAAATATGA